TCAAGCAACATTTTTCTGATCAACTTCTAATACCAAACAATATATTAACTCTAATTCAAAATATTCACGAGATCTCTTTCTTCACTATCTGCATGATTATGTTCAACAACACAAGTGTTACCACATAAAGGAAGGAAGGTAGGTTCAATAAATGACAAGGCAACAAAATTACCAACCACAGTCACAACAGTGCTACAATTACGATGTTGCGAAGATATATACTCTTAACTTGTTAGGAAAGAATTGGACACCCAAAAATAACACCTAAATACATTACAAATTTTATTAAACTTAAAAGAAGACTTAAAGTATAACCAATAATGCAGTTCCAAAATAAATAAAATAATAATTTGTAAGTCATATCCCTTGCCTGGACTGGAAATAGGTGATGAGTGCCTCATTGTTGGACCTGTGCGTGGCTCCTTTACTATTTTGGACTCCATCTTCTTATAAGAAGTTTCGCCAATTAACTAAGACATCTGATAATTGCTTCTCCCCAATATGCTCATTTCCAGAAGCTACGGAAGTCTTTGTTTCTCCTATCACTGAGACAAGAAATCATAAGCATTGCACATATAGCATCCATTTACCATAGGAATAAATTGCTGTCTTCACACTTTAAATAACACATCCAAAATATTTTGAACAAAAAAAGCTGAGTAGATACAACAAGTCTGTCTCAACACATTTACTAACCAAATTCTATTGCATGAACTCTACAATAAGAGCAATTTATAATTTTTCTGATGATTTGACTTCAGTAGCAGGCAATGTTGCATCTACTAGATGGTCACTGGAACCGTATTCCTTTGAATTCTGCTAACCAAGAGGAGCCTTTGGTTCTAACGAAGACATAAGAGCATATCAAAACGCAAAAACTTTCACTATCTAGCATGTACTCAATCATCCATCTATACAAGGGGAGAATGGAGATGATGTGGCTCATAGAATCAAAGCACGATAGGTAAAATGGAGGGTTTTGTTAAGCATATATATAGTGTGATCATCATATTTTGCTAGAATTGAAAGCTAAGTTTATAGAACATCTGTTAGACCAGCCATGCTATATGGGACTGAATGCTGGACAGTTAGAAAACAGACATATTCATAGTTCCTGTAGGTACATATTAGCCAAATGTTACAACCAGCACAGTGATATGCACACCTCTATCTCTGTTTCTCTAACGGCATATTAACCAGTATTAGACACAAAATCTTAAGAGATCAGATTAAAATATTTGTCACCTTTTGAATCCTTCAAAATTGGAGATGTTTGCTGAATAATCTTTGCTACCCTTCAAAATTGAAGGGTCATTGCCTCAACCTCAAAAACCTGGTTGGGAGAGAGCCTAGAGAGAAGAGAATAAGGCGGGAAACAGGGAGAAGAATGGAATTAGATGAATTAAGAGTCTCATGATCTCTTCTTCTATGGACCTGACTTGTGCTTGCTTCGGCTTCCCAATCTCAATCTCAAGCTCAAATTTGCAACTAAACTTTTTCAATTTCGGGTTCAGACTTTCAGTCAATCGCAGTGTTCGAAAAATGGGCCTAGGCGGGCTGCAAGGCGGCTAGGCGGGCTGCTAGGCGGCTAGGCGGGTTGGGTCTTTTTTCGGTGCTGAACAGGGAGGACGAAGCAGCTGAAACCTTTTGAGTTGATGGAGAAGCGAAATGGCTGCGACTGCGTCTGCAAGCTCCGTCCTCTGCGAGTGCAAGCTTTGGGTTCGTTTCGAGTATATTTAACACGTATAGCCGTGCGGCTATACTATTAAAATATTCGAATATATTATATTTAACGAGTATAGCCGAACGGCTATACGTTTAAAATATCCGAATGTATTTAGAAAGTACAGCCGTGCGGCTATACGTTTTAAATATACAATTTTTTCATATCAATTTAGTGTTTAGGGCTAAAATACCACTTTAGCCCATTGGGCTAGAGTTATTTCTTCAATTATTTTATTTATAAAAGCGATATTAGGGAATGAGAATTTAAATTCTTTCTGATACCTCCCATTCTAATGATTTCGGCTATTTGCCCATTGGGCAAGAATAAAAAATAAAATTTTATTTATAACAAATAATACAGGTTAAACCCATAAATACCAACAACAACAAAAAAGATAAGGACCTGTCAACATTTTGTGGATCAGAGAATGTTGAATTTCATAGTATAAAATTACTTGTATAAGAATTTACTTTCTAAAATGTATCCATTGTAATTATGAACTAAACCCAATTACAACATTTTTTCTCATTCCACTTGACAACCATGCTCCTCTGCTATTAGAGATATTAGTTCATACGGTATTCTATGTAGATGAAAAATTGGATACAAAATAGTCTAACGAGACAACAAAGAGAAGTTTGCAACTATGTTTTGAAATTAATTGAAGGTATCATAGGTCATATGACATTGATATATGAATTATTCTAAATAAGAATTCAAATATGTGTTAGATGAGAAGTAGCATCTCATTCTTAAATATATAACATATTATTTCATTTGTCTACTGGTTGTGCCTGTTGTTAAGCTAGTGCAACCAACATTCTTTCACCAAGAAATTTTCAACCTCGAAGAAATTTAGCTAGGAAAACCTTTGGTGGGAAGGGAAAGTTAAGATCGATAGAAATAGAGGCAGAGGCAAGGTTGAAGAACAATCGCGAGCACATGTGATATTACAGAAAATGTAGCGAAGGAATTTAGAATGGCCATTTTCCAAATGAAGCACACATCTTATAATGAAATCGAGATAGGAACTTATAACAAGCCCTCATTGGACTACATCTTATAATGAAATCGAAGGAATTTAGAATGGCCATTTTCCAAATGAAGCACACATCTTATAATGAAATCGAGATAGGAACTTATAACAAGCCCTCATTGGACTACAATGTCCAAAAGCACAAGATGAACACCACACCACACCACACTCAACACACATAATTGCTCATTAGTGTTGTAAATATAAAAAAAAGATGAGATATCGCTTAATACAATCAAATAGTTCTTCATTCCTCGTCGCCCAAATCATTGAACGCATCGCGCAAATCATTGAGCATTTCATCCCATGTCTCCTCCACATGCAGATGAAATGAGTATCCATCAACCAGAACAAAATTGTCCATTCCACGAAGAAATTCAAGAAATTCAGAACCCTCGCACATAAATTTACTAATATGAGAAGCAAGCTTTGATATTTCATCGTCGTTCTCCTCAAAACCAGAACAATCTCTAGTGTCCAACATCACCAGATCTTTGCATCCGCGCAGCAACGTGACAAGACCATCCCGATTAACTTTTGCACCCTTCACCACTTAGCATTAGAACTATAACAGGCACGCTCAGCCTATCTTTTGGGTTATGTACACTGCACACATGAATTAATCTCACAACTTCATGTGGATCACCCAAGTCCCATATTGATGTATCAAGCACTTCAATGGACCTGCCTTCTGTGTATGGCATCCATGCCTAAAAGAATTTATCAAAAGTTCAAAACCATTGTGCTTATTTAAAAGCAGAAACAAAAACAAGCAATGATTAAATCCTATATTTCTCTTTCCCACTCACTATCTCTAGCACCAACACACCAAAATCATAGACATCGGATTTTATCGAGTAGAACCAATCAATTGCATATTCTGGGGACGTGTAACCACTGCATATTCTCGGCTATACTTGTTTTCACACGTGGGAACCTATGCGCCATGCCGGTCCTCTTTTGGTTTTTTTTTAAAAATAAATA